GTTTGAGGTAAAGTCAGTCAAAAACAAAATGTTCGTAGAGCCGTCTGGGCTATAATGGGAATAAGAACAAAACAAAGCAAGGCTTGATAACTCTGAGCACACATTTCATTCCGATTCTCATGAATCCAACGAAAATAGCTACAATAATAAATTATCTTTACCACAGGCGTTGAGACAATAGGGAATTTGTTGGCATGTGTGGCTGCACCAGTGCCATGCGTCTTTGGGCCATTTTTGTATTGGCATTCTACTTATGTTGGCTTCAGAATAGCTTCTGATCCTCGCCTAAGCTTACATTTAGGTCTTATTGCCGGGTTTGCCACTGCTGCTGCTCCTCCGAGTTTAAAAATGCAGAACCTCTCCTCAGTGAAGAAAAGAGGCTGATAGCTCTTATCTCATCTCCAGCAGCATGAGTGGTTGGACTGGGAGCACACTGGAACTTCTTGCTATCTACAGCTCACTAACAACACTCTCTCTGGGTGAATGGTCTCTTAGGGCTCAATTTAGACTGTGCATGGTCACCTTAGCTCCAGATTAATCTTGGCACGCTGGGGCGATTCGCAGCGATTTGATGGGGTGAGCTCAGTCGATTGTGGTAAAGATCTTTGGGGGAAAAAAAAACAAGATGTGCAAAAAAAAAAGGTTATACAACTGAATTCAGTTACATGAGCAGTGGTCACTGGCTGAAATGATTTCTACCAGCCTCTGATAGGTTGCAATATTAAGCTCATATGCAACTATTACATTTCCCTTCAATCAAACTGGAATGAGAATGAATGTTGTTCATGTGGAATTCAGAAAGGAAAGCCCTAATCCCCTACCTCGTTACAAAAACATAAGGCCACAAATTATCTACAGTGTTGAGGCATGGAAGAAGTTCCATTTTAATCTCCAAGGATACAAAGAGCACTGTGAATCACTGACCCACAGTAGAAATATACACACCCTAGAAGGGCTCACAACTTGTTAAAGTTTCTAAGGGTAACTAGTACTAGAGAAGCTTCTCTAAAACAGCCATCTCTGTTTCATTATTAAGCTGCTCTGCAAAGAAGCAGTAGATTAAAGAGAAAGTTCTAGATGGTTTTACAGTGATTTTTAATTAGTCTATTTCTGACATTACATCACAGTATCATAAAAACTGATTGACCTGACGGCGAGGGCTGAAACTCTTTAGGATGTAAGAACACTTCCACCCTCTAACTTCAGTGTCAAAATCCTCACAGCAACTTACGAACACGCTTTATTTTCCAAATTAACTTTTAAGCAGTTAAAATGAAGAAAAACTTTCTTTGAGCAGGAAGAAACCTCCAGCAGAAGCAGGCTTACTGTAAGCAAACACATATGATTTGAGAAGCCAGTGTTTAAGTACTTGAAACACCCTCATGTTTCTAATGAGGATGCTAGTTGTTAGCCTCGTGAGATCAGGATGGTCTCACGAGCTTTCAAGATTTCACTCGCTAATCAGTCTGGAGACTCTCCGTTAAAGAAAATTTGGAGCCGTTCACCAAACGAACGTCCAATCAGCGTTGGCTTTGAGGTGCGTTGAGGTGTGACGCAACGAGAAGCGCGACAGTTCAGTCTAAAGAACATGGCGGCTTCAGCCGATGAAACTAGCGTTAGCATGGCTATCGAGCAAGTTGTATCAGAATTACACTGTATTTCTTCACTGAAAGAAGAGCAAAACACTGCTCTGGAGTCTTTTCTCAGAGGAAAAGATGTTTTTGCTCTTCTCCCGACTGGTTTCGGCAAGAGTTTGATCTATCAATTGGCTCCTCCTCGTCGTCGCTCTGTTACGTCATATGCTTCGTTAATCTGATTGGTTTATTTGGCCCGTCTATCACCAACATAGGCCAATCAGCTAACCAGTATTTTCGCCCCTTCCTAAAATTACTTCTACGGAAGCTTTCCAGACTCTGCCAGATGGATATGCGGAGCAAATCCATCTGGCGGAGTCAGGTTAGCTAGTTGTCGACTGATGAATAAATCAAAAGTTGATGATTTCATCAGCTAAAAAACTATTAATTGAAAAGGGGCACTTATTATTAACCGGTGGCGGATCTAGGGGGTGGCTACTTGGGCTGCAGCCCTGGATATTTCCCCAAGAGCCCCGGATCTCGCTTCTGAGCTGATCAGAGTAAAATGTGCAGTACTGGAATTCACCAGAGAGTGGCAGCATGTGCAGGAAAGCACCCTGTAGCATTCCTGTGCAGAAGAAGTCCCCACTAGCTGTTGCTAAACAGACTGATGTCCCAGGTAGAGTCCTGCACGGGTCGAGTTTTACCAACCCGCACCCGCCCGAACCCGTTAGGATGACTACCGAACCCGACCCGTCACCCGCGGATATTTTCAATTCAAAACCGAACCCGACCCGTTGATATTTAACCCGCAACCCGACCCGTTAACACATCAAGTAATAGGCTATAGTACGCTGCCCTGCAGAACATCGCCATTAACACTGCAGCAGACGTGTATGCACTGACTGTGGCCTTTTTGGAGGGAAGCCCACACTGCCGGCAGGGCTTTAAGCTACAACAAGGGTGACCCCAGTGCCTGATTAATAGAACATTTCTGAGGTCCATAACAACACACACGCATAAAAAAAAAAATCACCAACTACCCGCCCGCACTAAAAAAATATCCGCCCAACCCCCGACCCGTTTATTTTTATTTATGTATTTTTCACCCACAAAAGAGTGGGTCCCCGACCCGTTGCAGGACTCTAGTCCCAGGTATGTGAAACTCTGACTGACTTCCAGACGTTCTTTGTCCTGGAGTTGTATAAAATTCTGTTCCCCTTGTGTCGGGATTGCGCATTGAAGCCAGAGAGGCGAACATAGCGGATGGGACCATTTTCATTCATGTCAATGTTGTAACATCCAGTTTAATCAGCAGCTGTTGTCTATAAAATTGTAAAATAAATAAATAGACAAGGTCCTTTTAAGCTGTTTTGTGTTATTTAAAAAAAAAAGGAGAATCTGTCTTTTTCCAACTTCTGTCAGTTAATCCAAACAGAAATAAAAGTCAGAAGTATTTATCATTTTTCACTGCTGATATAAGAGGACGGCAACTGGCAGATAGAAGGACACAAAAATTAAGATTTCCAGAAAAGATGAGAGAGTAGACTTTCTGGTAAATCCCATTCTAATGTAAAATATGACAGATTACTGGATTAAAGAAATTTCTAGTATACTACATGCTATCACACATAACATTTTTTGAGAATTTGGAAACAGTTGCTGTTTATTTCCTAAACATATGGGAGGAGGAGAGAAGAGAATGGATATTTTAGCTGCCTGGAATATTCCGTTCCTCCTCCATAACATGGGAAGGAATTAATTCACCTACAAATCTTTAACTGTGTTTATTCCTCTCATCATCAACAACAAATCCTGTGAATTTGGTGACATTAAATCATTATTTGCCAAAGTTATGAGAGGGAAATCGTATATTTTAGCCACCTGATATAATCCATTTCCCCTTTGATGATCTTTATGAAATTTCTTTTCTGCTTAAATGTTTATCTAACAATTTACAAATATATTTCAAAAGAAAAGTTCAAACCAAAACAGCTGGACTTTGTTTTCCAAGTTTGAAGATGTTTCGTTTTCCATCCAGAGAGCTTTCTCAATTCAAAATGTCTGAAGTAATGCTATTCCAGACATTTTGAATTGAGAATTGACATATTTTAATTAACTATTTAAGATTTCAAAATATAGAATAATAAATGTTTCAAACATAATATAGAAAAATAATGACAGTTTCAAAATTCACAGGATTTGTTTAATTTTTTCCCATGTTATGGGGGAGCAGATTATATCAGGTGGCTAAAATATATGATTTCCCCTTCATAACTTTGGCAAATAATGATCAAATGTCTCCACAGAGCTTGCTGTTGAAGAAAGAAATAAACACAGTTAAAGACTTGAAGGTAAATGAATTTCTCCCCATGTTATGGAGCTGGAATTGTTATGTGTGATAGCATGTAGTATACTAGAAATTTCTTTAATCCAGTAATCTGTCATATTTTACATTAGAACGGGATTTAGCAGAAAGTCTAAACGCTCATCTTCACCCTCGGGGCTAAGCCAACATTAAACAACAAAATCAAAACAAAACAAAACCAAATATTTACCAAAAAAAAAGGAATAGGCTGAAGCAAAGCTTATTATTGCCTACCCTGTTTTATACTTACAACCTTTACAACCTACCAGGTTCTTTACTGCGTATATAAATATTCAAATCTACATAATATAGAATTTTATCATTAAAAAATTAAAGCCTTTTTAAAATTCACCAAGAAAGGACATAACTTTAAATCATCGTTCAATACATTCCACATTTTCACACCAATAACTGAAACACATCTAGACTCTATCTGGCTCTTCTCTTTTGCACATTCAAATATAAACAAACCTTGCGAATTACGTTTATTCTCTCTTAACTTAAATAATTTGTGAATACCAGAAGGAAGACTTTTGTTCACTGCTTTATGCATTATTTCCAGTATTTTTATATAAAAAATGTCTTTGAATTTTAATATGTTGCTTTGAATGAAGAGTTCATCAGTTGGTTCACGGTATCCCACCTTATTAATAAGCCTTATAGCTTTTTTTTGCAAATTAACTAACTTATCAATAATTGTTTTATTTGCATTTCCCTATACTTCTGAACAATAAGACAAATAAGGCATAACCAAAGAGGAATATATAAGGCTCTAAGCCTTGCCCTTAAACCTGGCTTATCTCATATATCAAGATGGTCTTTCCATACCATGACAGGCGAGTTTTTTTAGAGTATTGTTAAAAGGAAAAAAGAATAGTAAATCATAGTTTAACTATTTATTGTACAAGCTGTAGATTAGGAGCTGTGTTTGTTTAAATGTAAACAACATGAAGAATGTTGTTTACATTTAAGCTGTAGATTAGGAGCTGTGTTTGTTTAAATGTAAACAACATAAATAACTGAATCTTTGAACAGACTCCGCCCCAAATGATGTCATCACATCATTGTACATGCATAGAATTCCGTGTTCCTCATTGCTTGCTTTACTGCTGACCAGATCAGACGTAGCGAAGCCTTTTTCCGAGATAACCGCTTAGATAAGTTGTAGATTCACATTTTAACAACTGTAATTGTGAAGAAATGGCTTATCAATTCCCAAGACAACACAATGGGAGGACAGGACCCCAGGCAAGATGGGAAAATCAACAAAACCACAATGGGAGGACAGGACCCCAGGCAAGATGGGGACATCAACAAAACCAGCAAGCCTGGTCTCAACCTCCACCCGTGGATTTCTTACATGGGGAAATCCAAAGATTGAATCATCTTTTGGAAATGGAGAAAGGGAGATGGTTTGAGGAGAACCAAAAGGTAGTCGAACTGGAATCACAGTTGGAGGAGACAAAATTAGAGGTGAAAAGGCAGAAAAATCTCAAAGAAATGTTTATCAACAAGGGTAAAGAGACAAAGAAGGAACTCGAGAGATTACAAAAGGTTAGTGATCCAGAGATCCTAAACTCTGCAGCCATTGCCGAAATAGTTCACAACGACATGAAATACAAGAAGAAAAAGATGCTGCAAAAAGACTTTGATGAACTGAAGGTGGCCCACATCCTCATCCAACAATCTCTTACCTCACAAATCCAGGCAGAAAAAGACAAGAATATTGCCCTCCAGGAAGAACTGGACAAACTCAAGACTTCCTACCAGGAGCTTCCCTCCAAAAGTAAAGATGCTGCTGCAGAAATGCAGCATGTTGGGATTCAGACAGAGAATGAAGAAAGATCCAGTGAGAACGAACAACTCCTCGAAAATCTCAGAGCTGAGAAGGAAGAACTCTTCCAAAAAATGTCTCAAGAGATCGCATCTCTGCGAGAGAGGGACACCAGTTTGCTGAGACAACTAGACCAGCTTCAAGTTTCATACCAAGAACTGAACTGTAGGTATGAAAAAGATGTTTCTGCATTAAAACAGCAAGCAGAGGCATATCAGCAGGAGCTAAACTGCCACAAAAATGCTAGTTCAGAGAGAGCAAGGCAGGACCTGCAGCTTATCAATGACCTGAGAGCTGAAAAAGACGATCTCTATCAAAAAATGTCACAAGAGGTCGCATTGCTTCAAGAGAAGGAGAAAAATTCACAGAGTGAATTAGAGCAGGTTAGAGAGTCATACCAAGAAATGACCTGCTTGTATGAAAAAGACGTTTCTCTACTTAAACAGCAAGTAGAAAAATATCAGAAGGAGGTTGATCATGAGAAAAAAGCTAATTCAGAGCGAACAAAGAATGACCTCCAGCAAATCAACCAACTGAAAACTGAGAGGCTTCATCTCTACCAACAAATGTCTCAAGAGATCCAGATTCTGAAACAGAAAGAGCTGGTGAACCATTTGTCAGGTGAGACAGAACAGAGTGAAAAAGAGAACTCTGCACTGAAACAACAGGTAGAAAAACTTCAACTGCAGATAATTCAGGAGAAGAAAAGTCATTTGGAGGCATCAAAGAAGGACCTGACACTTCTTAACAAGTTGAGAGCTGAGCAAGACCATCTCAAAGAAAACGCCTCAAAAGAAATCACCTTCCTTCAAGAAAAGGACAAACGATTGCAGGGAGAGATGGACAAGATTCAAGTTTTACACCAGGAACTGATTTCAAGGTATGAAACTGATGTTTCTGCACTGAAACAGCAAGTGGAAACCTTAAAGCAGGAGAAAAATATCCAGAAAGAGCCTAAACAGGAAGTCACTGTCCCTGCATGCACTGATCTTGACAACTGCTCAGAGGAAAACCTGTCAGAGACCGGAGACCTCACTGAAGAATCAACAAAGGTCATCAACAAGGATGTAAAGGAAATTACTGATGAGCCTGTAATGCAGTCAGAGACAAACAACCCAGATACCAAACCCATGGCGGGAGCAGGCAAAGTGACTAAATCAAAGCGTTCATTATGGAAAAGATTTCGCCACTCTCTGGGTTTGAGGAAATCAAAAAAGTAGAAGAAAAGCAAGAATATCACCTGGTCCCAGCTCCATATAATCGATCCAGAGATAATAGAACATCTTGTTGCCAACTGAAAAAAAAAGTTCCCTTTGAACCCAATAAATAATGTACAGTCACATTCAAATTCAGTCCAAATTTTTGAAAAAAGTGGGCAGTACGGCAATGTGGCGCTACATCTTTACAGAGAGGATGTCAAAGATCTAAACACACCGTACTTGCGTGGGTTTTCTCCAGGTGCTCTGGTTCCCCCCACACTGCTAAAAACATGTCGATAATTGGCCAATGTGACTTGTCATCAACTGTGAACTGATTCCAAGAAGAAAAGATATTAGACTGTCATCAAGGTAGCGAGGGGAATTTAAAAAAGGCATTTATATACGTTACACCTCTTGGCTGGGATTTCTTGGAAAGGGACCTGAACATTAACAGTATCTTCATAGACTGTGTTTGTTTTTGTATGTATAAAGAAACAGCAAAATCAAAGTTTCTTTATGATTAATAAGCATCACAAAACAACTTCCTCAAAAAAGACAAAAAAACAAAAAACAAACAAAAAAGAATAAAAAATAAATAAATGAAAAAAAGACAAAAAAAAAGTATGAGAGTGTGCGTGAATGTGTGCGTGAATGTCTGTGTGAATGTGAGAGTGAATGAGTGTGGGGGTGAATCTTTTCACAGGGCGTGTGTGAAGCGTCTACTGCAGAGGTGATTATTGGAAGTACATGCTTTCAGCTTGCAACTTTCTGCATTCAGCTGCTGCAGCTGGCTAACCTCTTCTATGGGGTGAAAAGAGGAGACCAGTGTAAAATCTCCTCCTGCCAGTATATAGCCTCTCCACCGCCAAGACCCCTGCAGTGCCTCCTCGTGGCCCCACACGTCAACTGGGTACTCTACAGTCCCAGGCTAAACTGCAGGGGATCTCGGAGCAACAGTGGGCCCCAGAGACATGGTGCAATAATGCTGTGGCATCAGTCAACCACTGTTCCAGCTATGGACAAATAGCTTCACTCCCATAGTCCTTGTCTTGTTAGGCCTTAGTAGTCAAAATAAGACAGAGGCTATGAGAATACATCTCAGCTGAGATGTAGGTGGTGCGCCTAAGGTAACTCTATACTGGAAGGGATCTATTAGTCTTCTGCAGCCATGATGGCAGACTGGTTGTGTTGAGCCTTATCCACACCATCTGCCTTCACTGCAGCTGATTAACAGTTACCAGTTCAGATTATCTCCAAAGACTTGTGCATTGACAGTGAGGTCCAGAACAATAATAATCAAATGCATCAGCTGTCTTTATGAGACTGGGTTTTTGGTAACAATAACCTACATGGGAACTTATGGCCCACAGATCAAAACCCTGAAAATTTGGCATCAGTGCATCCTGGGAATCATTTGGTATGACTACACACTGATATACTCAGCAGCTAGCCTTTCCATTGCAAATACCTTTGTATTGCCTGGCCAAAAATGGAAACTGGCTACTCTACAGTCCCAGGCTAAACTGCAGGGGATCTCGGAGCAACAGTGGGCCCCAGAGACATGGTGCAATAATGCTGTGGCATCAGTCAACCACTGTTCCAGATATGGACAAATAGCTTCACTCCCATAGTCCTTGTCTTGTTAGGCCTCAGTAGTCAAAATAAGACAGAGGCTATGAGAATACATCTCAGCTGAGATGTAGGTGGTGCGCCTAAGGTAACTCTTACTGGAAGGGATCTATTAGTCTTCTGCAGCCATGATGGCAGACTGGTTGTGTTGAGCCTTATCCACACCATCTGCCTTCACTGCAGCTGATTAACAGTTACCAGTTCAGATTGTCTCCAAAGACTTGTGCATTGACAGTGAGGTCCAGAACATAATAATCAAATGCATCAGCTGTCTTTATGAGACTGGGTTTTTTGGTAACAATAACCTACATGGGAACTTATGGCCCACAGATCAAAACCCTGGAATTTTGGCATCAGTGCATCATGGGAATCACTTGGTATGACTACTACACACTAAGATACTCAGCAGCTAACCTTTACATTGCAAATACCCCTGTATTGCCTGGCCACACATGGAAACTGGGCACTCTACAGTCCCAGGCTAAACTGCAGGGGATCTCGGAGCAACAGTGGGCCCCAGAGACATGGTGCAATAATGCTGTGGCATCAGTCAACCACTGTTCCAGCTATGGACAAATAGCTTCACTCCCATAGCCCTTGTCTTGTTAGGCCTTAGTAGTCAAAATAAGACAGAGGCTTTGAGAATACATCTCAGCTGAGATGTAAAGGATCTAGTAATCTCCCGCAGCCATGATGGCAGACTGGTTGGGCTAAGTCTCATCCACATCATCTGCCTTCACTGCAGCTGATAACTGTAACTAGTTCCATCATTCAGCTTGACTTATGCATTGACAGTGAGGTCCAGAATCATAGTAATCAAATGCATTAGCTGTCCTTATCGGACTGGGTTTTTGGTAAAAAAAAAAAAAAAAGAAACTACATCGAAACTCGTGGTCATCCTGGGGATCACTTGGTATGACTGTGCTACCCATGGATATACTCAGTAGCTAGCCTTTCTATTGACCCCTGCAGTGCCTCCTAAAGGGCACATAAAACTGGGTAAACTGGGTACTCTACAGTCCCAGGTCAAACTTGAGGGATAAAAGGGCGACAGTTGGCCCTATATCTCATAGATGTCATGAAATAATGCTTTGAGAATCGTGAGTGTATTTTTTTTTAATGGATTAATATATACTCATATGGCCTTGAATGACACACATTGTGTCAATTAGCAGAAAGAGACTAAGTCACTGCGTGTTTTAAGGTTGGAAAAAAACGTTAATGCAAACCAGTGCAGCCACGTTTGATCTATGCTTTATAGATATACTAGAAAGTAGCTTTTTCACATGAACAAGTAGTGCCTCTTTGTTAAAAAGCAGGTCTGAGTATAATAAATGTTGAAGTAAAGCTCCGAAATGTATATGTGCAACATGCTCTAAATCTGTTTGACAGATGAAACTAAAATTACTGTTGCACTCACATTCTGAAATCCTATTACTATAAAAGACTTTTCTAATTGAGTTAGAAATTTCACAGCCTATTACTAATCATGCGCTGCGAATATGTTCAAAGCTGGTTTCCATGTCAGACACCGTCTAATCCCTTCTTTTAATGTGCCCAATCCAGCAGTCCCGTTCATTAGGCTGTCTATAGGTTCTTCTTCTTCTGTGTGCCGTAATGAAATGAGAGTGCATGAAATGAGAGTTTACTCTAGAGAGTAACAGCAACACTTTAGCGTTCTCTCACTCTCTTTAGACTGTGTCCTTATTAGGGTTCTCCCTTCCAAAGCAAGGTCATAGCATCCACCAACTTTCAGTTTTATTAGCCGTGGGCTAGTCCTTAGGCTTTGAGTGGCTCTCACACAACACCAGAGAATGCAACCTCTGATTGTGCTTTATGTCTAACTATCCATTTCTTTTTATGCTGCACATTAGAGCGTTTTCCATCTCTCCCTCATCGTCCTCTCTGTTGCTTTCCGTTGAGAACTTTTCCCTCATCTCGCGTCTTGCCTCCACCCAAGCAGAAGTACGGCCTCTTCCAATCCTCCTCATTAGATTCTGCCTGGGTAACCTGAGAAAAAGAGCGCCTCTGTCTTCTACACCTCTCAATCATAGCCTCTGCCACCCCAACCACAGGATTCATCTGCCGGCAATGAGCGACCTTTGACACCTGCGCCTCACAGGCAGGATTACTACTGAGTCCTGCTCACGCTTTATTCCCCGCAGCCGAGAAAGCAGAGATGGTCTTTCATGAAATTCAAACTTTAGGTATGAGCAGCCATAGACATCTGAGGACCTTATTTCCCCTTAGCTCAGTCTCAACGTGTGAAGATCAAAAACCTTGGAGCAGCACAGAGGACTGCTGTGCAGTCTGTGAATTCACAATGATGATGAGAAAGAATAAGAAGCTTGATGGAAACCAAGGAGTTTAGAGGACTCAGATTTTCTGTCAATTATTTTTCTCTCTCTTTTGTAGGTGGCAGCTAAAAAGACGCAAAGTTACTCTAAAGTGTTTAAGCAAGGTTACATCCAAAGGGATAGAGCATGTTATGGATATGCTTCAGTTCCTTGGAATATGAGCAAAACACCTCAAGTTCATTTCACACGTCCTTTAGGAACATGTTTGAGGCCAACTACTTTTTCACATTCTGTTCTTTTCTAAACACAAGCTGCAATGCAATATGTTGGGGAATTTATGTAAAGGACCAATACAAGCTATCAGAATAAATGTGAAGAGGAAAATTCTAAAATTGATGTGTACTGTTTTTTCTGTTGAACCATCTTTTATTACGGTTTCTGCTTCAAGGAGAATAACATTTAAAAAACACAACTGAATGAGCAATAAGTGGGCATGTTTTGGGTAATCTACAATGAGTAACAAGTAGAGGAGTGTTTTTCAACCCTGGTCCTCAAGGCACACTGCCCTGCATGTTTTAGATGTTTCCCAGCTACCACACACCGTCTATCAATTGATAGCAGATTATCAGGCTTTGCTGAACTGCAATCATCTGAATCAGGTGTGCTGAAGCTCAGAAACACCCAAAGCATGCAGAGCAGTGTGCCTTGAGGACCAGGGTTGAAAAACACTGAAGTAGAGGTGAGTATTTGTTGATAAAATACGAAACAAAACTACATAATAAAGTATGTTATGATTTTTATGATAATATTGCTCTGTTTGAAAACGTAGGATGCGTCCTTAGAAGGCCAGATTCGAAGGCCGATTATGTCATAGCGCGGCGCCGAGGTCTGGTCGGATTCCAAGACTCCTCGTTATGCGGCCTTAAAATGCGTCCTTCTTTTTGCCCGATTTGAAGGACGGGTCCGATGTAGCCTCAGTATCCTTGGTTTACCCAGAATTCATTGCGAGACCAAGCAAGCCGTGATCAGAGGAAAGGTTACTTGGCGCCGAACAGTGGTGAAAATTGGAAGTTCAGTTTAATATAATACAACTCT